GGATATGACATTTAAAAAGTAGGCAACAGGCTGGGCATGGTGGCTCACACCTGTAATCCCAGCACTTTGGAAGGCGGAGGCAGGCAGATCACTTGAGGCCAGGAGTTCGAGACCAGCCTGGCCAACATGGCAAAACTCCTTTTCTACTAAAAATACAAAAATTAGTCAGCATATGCCTATAATCCCAGCTACTCAGGAACAGTAGGTTCAGTTCTCCTACTGAGATAGAACTGCTTGAACCCGGGACACAGAAGCTGCAGTGAGTCTAGATTGTGCCACTGCACTCCAGCCTGGGTGACAAAGCAAGATGCTCTCTCAAAAAAAAAAAAAAGAATAGGCAATAAAAGAAAAAAATAGGTTGGACTTCATCAAAATTAGAAACTTTTGTGTACCAAAGAATAGTATCAGCCAGGTGCGGTGACTCACAACTAAAATCCCAGCACTTTGGGAAGCCCAGGTGGGCGGATCACCTGAGATTGGGAGTTCGAGACCAGCCTGACCACCATGGAGAAACCCGGTCTCTACTAAAAACACCAGAAATTAGCCGGGCATGGTGGCACATGCCTGTAATCCCAGCTATTCGGGAGGCTGAGGCAGAATAGCTTGAACCTGGGAAGTAGAGGTTGTAGTGAGCCAAGATCACAACATTGCACTCCAACATGGGCAACAAGAGCGAAACTCCACCTCAAAAAAAAAAGGAAGAATAGTATCAACAGAGTGAAAAAGCAGCCCCTAGGATAGAAACCATACATGCAAATCATATATCTGATGAGGGACTGATATTCAAAATATATTTTAAAACTTGCCAAGTGTGGTGGCTCATTCCTATAATCCCTGCATTTCCGGAGGTAGAGGCAAGTGGATCACCTGAGGTCAGGAGTTCAAGACCAGCCTGGCCAACATGGCAAAACTCCATCTCTACTAAAAATACAAAAATTAGCTGGGCGTGGGGAGTACACACCTATGATTCCAGCTACTCAGGAGACTGAGGCAGGAGAACCACTTGAACCATAGAGGTAGAGGCTGCAGCAGGCTGAGATCGTGCCACCACACTCCCGCTTGAGTGACAGCAAAATTCCATCTCAAAAAATAAAAATAAAAATGTGTATGTATATATACATATATATACACACACACATTATACACATATACATATAAACATACATACACATGTGTATATATATATATTTCTTTATATATGTTTCTGTATATATATACATATATATAAAACAACCACAACTTGATTACCAAAAACTCGCTTGAAAAACAAGCAAAGGACTTGCACCTTGGACACTTCTCCAAAGAAAATATACAAATGGCTTTTAAGAACATGAAGACATGCCCAATATCACTAGTCACTAGAGAAATGTAAATCAATACTATAATGAGATACAACTTCATACCCATTAGAATGTCTACTGGTAAAAAAGAGAAAATAAGGCCACATGTAGTGATTCATACTTGTATAATCCTACCACTTCTAGAGGCCAAGGCAGGAGGATCACTTGAGCTCAGAAATCTGAGACCAGCCTGGGCAACAAAGCAAGACCTCCTCTCTACTAAAAGTTTTAAAAATTAGCTGGGTGTGGTGGCACACACCTGTAGTCCCAGCAACTTGGGAGGCTAAGATGAGAGGATCACTGAGCTCAGAAGTTGAGGCTGCAGTGAGCTGTGATTGGGCCACTGCACTCCAGCCTGGGTGACAGAGCAAGACTTTGTCTCAAAAACAAACAAAAACCAGAAAATAACAAGTGCTGCAAGGATATAGTGATACTGGAACCCTTGTGCACTGCTGGCGAAAATGTAAAACAGTGTATCTGCTGTGGAAAACAGTAGGACAATTCCTCACAAATTAAACAGGCTGAACATAGTGGCTCACACCTGTAATCCCAGCACTTTGGGAGGCCAAGACAACAGGACTGCTTGAGCCCAGGAGTTCAACACCAGCCTGGGCAACATAAGGAGACCCCCATCTCTACAAAGAAGAATAAAAAATTAGCCTGGTGTGGTGGTGCACACCTGTGGTCCCAGCTACTCAGAAGGCTGAGGTGGGAGGATCACTTGAGCCCATGAGGTCAAGGCTGCAGTGAGCTATGATTGAGCCACTACACTCCAGCCTGCATGACAGAGCAAGGCCCTATCTCCAAAAAAAAAGACAGAAAATTCTGACACATGCTACATGGATGAACCTTGAGGACACTATGCTAAATGAAATAAGCAGTCATAAGAGTCAAATACTGTATGATTCCACTTACATGAGGTACACAGAGTAGGTAAGCTCACAGAGACAGAAAGTAGAACGGTGGCTGCCAGGGGTTGGGGAGAAAAGACTGGAGAGTTAACAGGTTCGGAGTTTCAGGTTTTTATTTTTTGGGGGTTTTTTATTTTTGGTTTTTTATTTTTTTTTTGAGACAGAGTTTTGCTCTGTCACCCAGGCTGGAGTGCAGTGGTGCAATCTCAGCTCACTGCAACTTCAGCCTCCCTGGTTCAAGCTCCTGCCTCAGCTTCCCAAGTAGCTAGGATTACAGGTGCATGGCTAATTTTTTGTATTTTTAGTAGAGATGGGGTTTCACCATATTAGCCAAGCTGGTCTCGAACTCCTGATCTTGTGATCCACACACCTTGGCCTCCCTAAGTGCTAGGATTATAGGCATGAGCCACCACACCTGGCCCTCAGAGTTTCAGTTTTATAAAATGAAAAGAATTCTGTGGATGAGGGTGGTAAAAATGGCACAACAATGTAAATGCACTCAATACCACAGAACTGTACACTTAAAAAGTTTAAAAGGTAAATTTCGTTATATGTATCTTACCACAAGTTTTTTTCTAATTCTCTAAAGTACAGGGCGGCTTCCTACAATTTTTACTATTTCCAAAGAAAAGCAAAAATGATGACCAATACCCAGGACAACTCCTAAAACCATAACCATGTTCAGTTCCACTGATCAAATGTCCAGTCTCTCTGCTATAGTCACTCAACAATAGCAGTGTTTCAGTTTCCTCCTCCTTCCCAAATCCATCACTGGAGAAGGGAAAATATTGGCTGACAAGACAAAAAGAGGGAAAAATAAGGCAAGACTAACAAGAATGTTTCAGAAATACTTTTTTTTTTGAGACAGAGTTTCACTCTTTCACCCAGGCTGGAGTGCAGCGGTGCTATCTCTGCTCACTGTAACCTCCATGTCCTGGGTTCAAGTAATTCTTCTGCCTCAGCCTCCCAAGTAACTGGGATTACAGGTATCCATTACCAAGCCCAGCTAATTTTTGTATTTTTAGTAGAGATGGGGTTCACCATGTTGGCCAGGCTGGTATTGAACTCCTGACCTCAAGTGATCTGCCTTGGCCTCCCAATGTGCTAGGATTGCAGGCGTGAGCCACTGCATCTAGCCAGGAATATTTCCCTACGCTTCAATTTTCTTATCTGTAAAATAGAGGAAATAACATGCTCTGTTTTCCAAAAGGATGTTGTAAGGATTAGGTAAATTCACATTTATAAATATTCTAAAGTGCTTAGCACATGGTAAGTGCCCTATAAAATGTGGCTCAGGCCTTAAATCCCAGCACTTTGGGAGGCTGAGGCGGGTGGATCAAGAGGTCAGGGTTCAAGACCAGTCTGGCCAACACGGTGAAACCCCATCTCTACTAAAAATACAAAAATTAGTTGGGTGTGGTGTTGCATGCCTGTCATGCCAGCTACTTGGGAGGCTGATGCAGGAGAATCACTTGAACCTGGGAGGCAGAAGTTGCCACAGGTCAAGATTGTGCCACTGCACTCCAGCTTCGGCAACAGAGCAAGACTCCATCTCAAAACAAAACAAAAAAAAAAACTAAAGTGGGGAGGAAAAAAAGAAACTAAATTCAGAACATCCTAATTGCCATTTTCCCAGCAGTCCTCATTTCTGAATCAATTTCTGCCCTGAAATCAAACACTTCACCAAGTGAATCTTTCTGGCAGTTATAGGGGCTATTCTACAAACAAATATTTATTGAACAGCAATCAAGGGTATCTCACTCTGCTAGGCTGGCAAGGAATACAAGAAGTAAAACTGTTATCCTTGCAAGCCACATATAAAAAGATCAAAAACACAAATGTAAAATAACAATTCAAAAAATACCCAGAGGCAGGAATAGACCATGTCTACTATGAAAAATGTAGTACTCAGTTTTTGAAGACTCGCTAAAATTATAAACTCTCCCATCCCTCCATGATAAAAAACTAAGCTCTGTACCCTAACGTTTTTTCTGCTGCCACTTTCTTTTCTCCTTTAACTCCTAGAGGAAAAAGTATGCTAGAAGAATCAGGACTGAATCTCAAGAGATGCAGTAGTTTCATACACAGGTGCCAAAGAGTCTAGTAGTCTTTCCTTACTTCATTCATTTATTCAACAAGTAATCACTTAACACCTATGATGTGCCATACACCATGCGAAGCAAAGTGAAAACGACCGAGACAGACACGGCTCCGATTCTCACCCAACTTTCAATCTAATCAGCTAAATTTCATCTAACTGATACAGTTAAAAACTGACTTATGACCTATGAAAGAAACCCAGAGAATTTCAGAATCTAAAGGGACTGCAGGAGATAAATCTCCTCGTTTTTCACATGGGGACAATGAGGTCCAAAAGTGACTTGCTCAAAGTCATCCTGTGCATCAGTGACAGACAAGGACTAGAACCCAGGTCTCCTGAAAATCAGTGTCCTACGTCCTCCTTTCCCTGAGGGGAAGCAGTCACATGGGGGAAGGAAGGAAAAGCAAACCCCATCAAATAAAGGACAGATGTCACTCTTCCCTTCCTCGAAGGAGCGGCGAGCTAAGGTCCAAACGGGGATGGGAAGAGGTAGGAAGCTGCCTCAGTTTCCCCAAGGAAAAGCAGCCACGCAGCCTAGCTACAACACAGGTTCCCTCCTGCACTTCCTTCCCATTCCTCCCGCCCTGCCTTGTCGAACTCCAACCCGGGACCCAGAGGGCTACCGTAGAAAATGACTCCTTCACTCACAAGGACTCGCACCAGCAACGCCATGTTCCTCAATAACCACTTCCGGGTGAAGAGTGAGCTTCCGGTGTCCCCGCCGACACCACCCCTTTTCTACGTCCTCCTTTTGCTGGCGAACGACGGACAGGAAGAGCGCAGGCGCAGAGAGTTGATGTGCGCACGCGCGGTTGTCTTATTGGCTGTGTGCGAGGCGGTAGCGCCCGGGACTCGCATCCACGCTGTCCCTCCGGCCGCACGTCACAGTGGCTCAAATCATTCCCCCACGCCCGTCTCCTTGACCCCAGACCTCGGTGCTTTTCCTATCCCTCTCTTATTCCCCCACCCAACCCAGCCTTACTCCTCAGCCCCTCCTTCCCACACTCCACCCCAGCACTTTTCAATGGAGGCTGAAAAGAACAGGACCTTGGGAAATCCCAATCTTTAAACGGAGCCAGAGGGTCGGGCGCGGTGGCTCATGCCTGTAATCCTAGCACTTTAGGAGGCCAAGCCGGGCGGATCACCTAATCCTAGCACTTTGGGAGGCCAAGCCGGGCGGATCACCTAATCCTAGCACTTTAGGAGGCCAAGCCGGGCGGATCACCTGATGGCGAGACTAGCCTGGTCAACATGGCGAAACCTCGTCTCCACGAAAATACAAAACAATTGGCCGGGCATGATAGTGTGTTCCCGTAATCCCAGCTACTCAGGAGACAGAAGTTGCAGTGGACCGAGATCACGCCACTGCCCTCCAACCTGGGCGGCAGAGCAATACTCTGTCTCAAAAAAAAACAGAAAAATGAGCCAGAGAAGGAGGCTTTTGCAAGAGGCATACAGGGAACAGCAGAGTCCTGAAAGTCAAGGGAAGAAAGTGGTCATGGGCCAATCTGAAACCTGGTGGAGGAAGAAACTTTTGGGGTTTGTGGTTGGTTGGTTGGTGGTTGCTTGGTTAAGGGGAACATTTCTGAATATTAACAGGAAAGGATTAGTAAAGAGTATACAAGAGAATCAAGGATGCAAGGAGTTTCCTGAGGAAAGTGGCAGAGAACGGCCTTGATAGAAGAATTGTATCCCAAGAGAAGAAGGGAAGACAAAGTGCTGGTGCTTTGGGGGTTGAGGGAGCAGAGGGGCGGGATGTCAAGGACTTCTTTCATTTCATTCGGTCAACAGAAATCTATTGAGTCTTGCCTGTGTACTGAATACAAAACATACTGACTTCACGGATGGGGAAGGCGTAGGAACCCAGTGAAAAAAATAATAAAAACTGGGGAACTACTTTAGTTAGGTTGGGTAAGGCCTCTCCAAGGAAGTGACCTGTAAGATGAAATCTAAAGGAAGAGGAAAAGCTAACCATGGGAAATAACTTCACTCTACTATTCTTTTTTAATTAAATTTATCGCTTTTTATTAATTGACAAAAAAAACTACATATTGTATACAACAGTATGGTTTCTTTTTTGTTTTTTGTTTGTGACAGTGTCTGTCTCTGTCACCCAGGCTGGGGTGCAGTGGCACGACTGAGCTCACTGTAACCTTTACCTCCTTGGTTCAAACAATTCTCCTGCCTCAGCCTCCCGAGTAGCTGGGATTACAGGCGCACACCACCACACTCAGCTAATTTTTGTATTTTTAGTAGAGACGGGGTTTCACCATGTTAGCCAGGCTGATCTCAAACTCCTGACCTCGTGATCCGCCCACCTTGGCCTCCCAAAGTGCTGGGATTACAGGAGTGAGCCACCGCACCCCTAGCCAGGATGTTTTAAAATATGTATACATTGTGGAATGGCTAAATCAAGCTAACTGAAATATGCATTACCTCGGCCAGGTGTGATGGCTCATGCGTATAATCCCAGCACTTTGGAGGCTGAGGCAAGCGGATCACGAGGTCAAGAGTTCAAGACCATCCTGGCCAACATGATGAAACCCCCCATCTCTACTAAAAATATAAAAATTAGCCGGGCATGGTGGTGCATGCCTGTAATCCCAGCTACTCAGGAGGCTGAGGCAGGAGAATCACTAGAACCTGGGATGCGGAGTGTGCAGTGAGCTGAGCTTGTGCCACTGCACTCCAGCCTAGGCAACAAAGCAAGACTCTGTCTCAAAAAAAAAAAAAAAAAAAAAAAAAATGCATTACCTCGTTTTGCTGGAAATGCTTAAAATATGTTCTTTGAGCAATTTTGAAGAATACAATACAGGCTGGGCATGGTGGCTCACGCCTGTATTCCAAGCACTTTGGGAGGCCAAGGCGGGTGGATCATCGGAGGTTGGGAGTTTGAGATGAGCCTGGCAAACATAGTGAAACCTCGTCTCTACTAAAAATACAAAATTACCTGGGAATATTGGTGAATTCCTGTAATCCCAGCTATTCAGGAGGCTGAGGCAGGAGAATCGCTTGAACCTGGGAGGCGTAGGTTGAGCCGAGATCGTGCCATTGCACTTCAGCCTGGGGCAACAAGAGCAAAACTCATCTCAAAAAAAAAATACAATACATATTTATAGTAGCTACAGTCGCCATGTTATAGAATAGATATCTTGAACTTATCCCTCCTAACTGAAATTTTGTATCCTTTGATGAACATCTCCCCAGTCCCTAGTAACCACCATTCTACTCTCTACTTCTGTGAGTTCAACTTTTTTAGGTTCCACATATGAGAGAAATCAAACAGTATTTGTCTTTCTGTGCCTCATTTATTTTTCTTAACATAATGTCCTCCCAGTTCATCTATGTTGTCATAGATGTCAGCATTTCCTTCTTCCTTAAGGTTGAATGGTATTCCATTATATATATAAATAACTTTTTTTTTTTGAGACAGAGTCTTGCTCTGTCACCCAGGCTGGAGTGCAGTGACACAATCCCAGCTCACTGCAGCCTGTACTTCCTGGGTTCAAGTGATTCTTGTGCCTCAGTCTCCCAAGTAGCTGGAACTACAGGTGCATGCCACCATGTCCGGCTAATTTTTGTGTTTTTAATAGAGACAGGGTTTCGCCATGTTGGCCAGGCTGGTCTTGAACTCCTGGCCTCAAGTGATCTGTCCACCTCAGCCTCTCAAAATACTGGGATTACAGGGGTGAGCCACAGCACCTGGCCACTACATTTTCTTTATCTGTTCATCCACTGATGGACACCGAGGTTAATTCCATATCTTGGCTGTTGTGAATAGTGGTGCATGTTGGTACAGATGCCTCTTCAGCATACTGATTTCATCTTCTTTGAATGTATACCCAGTAGTGAGGTTGCTGTATCCTATGGTGGTTCTGTTTTTAATTGTTTGAGGAGCCTCCATACTGTTTTCTATAATGGGTGTACTAATTTACATTCCACCAACAGTGTGCAAGATTTCCCTTTCCTCCACATGCAGTGTTATAGTCTCCATTCTTTTTGTGTGTGTGTGTGAGATGGAATCTCTCTCTGTTACCCAGGCTGGAATGCAGTGGCACAATCTCAGCTCACTGCAACCTCCACCTCCTGGGTTCAAGTGATTCTCCTGCCTCAGCATCCCAAGTAGCTGGGACTACAAGGCATGCACCACCATGCCCAGCTAATTTTTGTATTTTTAGTAGAGACGGGGTTTCACCAAGTTGGCCAGGATGGTCTCAATCTCTTGACATCGTGATCCACCCTCCTTGGTCTCCCAAAGTGCTGGGATTACAGGCATGAATCACCGCACCCAGCCTATAGTAGCCATTCTAACAGATGCAAGGTAATATCTCATTGCGGCTTTAGTTTGCGTTTCCCTGATGATTAATCATGTTGAGCATTTTTTCATATACTTGTTGGCCATTTGTATGTCATCTTTTGAGAAATGTCTATTCATATATTTTGCCCATTTTAAAATTTGGATATTAGCCTCTCATCAGATAGATGGTTTTCAAATATTTTCTCCCATTCCATAGGTTGTCTCTTCACTCCATTGATTGTTTCCTTTCCTGTGCAGAAGTTTCTTAATTTTATATAACACTATTTCTCTATTTTCACTATTTTTGCCTGTACTTTTGGGGTCATGTCCAAAAAATCAATGCCCAGACCCAAGTCATGTAGCTTTCCCCTATATTTTCTTCTTCTAGTAATTTTAGTTTAGATCTTGTGTTTAAGGCTTTAATCTATTTTGAAGTGATTTTTATTTGAGACAGGGTCTTATGCTGTTGCCCAGGCTGGAGTGCAGTGGTGCAATCAAGGCTTACTGCAGCCTCAAAGTCCTGGGGTCAAGTGATCCTCCTGCCTCAGCCTCCTGAGTAGCTGGGTCATAGGCATGTGCCACCATGCCCAGCTAATTTTTTTGTTTTTAGTAAAGATGGGGCACAGGGGTCTCCTTATGTTTCCCAGGCTGGTCTTAAACTTCTGGGCTCAAGCAATCCTCTCATCTCATCCTCTCAAAGTGTTGGGATTAAAGGGAGTCACAACACCTGGCAGCTGATTTTTATATATAGTAGGTGATAAGAGTCTAACTTCATTCTGCATGTAGATATCAAGTTGTCCCTACATTATTTATTGTAAAGACAGCCCTTTCTCCATTGTGTGTTCTTTGCACCTTTTTTGAAAATCAATTGACCATAAATGCATAGATTTATTTTTGGGCTCTATTCTCTTCTATTGGTCTATGTGTCTGTACAAATGCTATTCTAACAGCAAATGTTGGGAATTGGAAGAGGGAAAGAAGATTTCAAAACAAAGGTCTTGAGGTGGGAAAGAAAACAATATATTTTAAGGCCAGGTGCAGTGGCTCATGACTGTAATCCCAACACTTTTAAGAGCCCAAGGGTGGATCACCTGAGAACAGGAATTTGAGATCAGCCTGGGCATCATGGCCAAACCCTGTCTCTACCAAAAAAGTAGCCAGGCATGGTGGTGGGTGCCTGTGGTCCCAGCTACTCAGGAGGCTGAGGTGGTAGGGTGGCTTGAGGCTAGGAGGTAGAAATTGCAGTGAGCCTTGATCCAGCCACTGCACTCCAACCTGGGTGACAGAGTGAGACCCCATCAAAAAGCAAGCAAGCAAAGAATTCAAAAATTCAAAGAAAACAAAAGAAAGACGGAAAGAAAGAGAGAGAGAGGGAGGGAGGGAGGGAAGGAAGGAAGGACAGGAAGGAAGGAAGGAAGGAAAAGAAAAGAAAGAGAGAGATAAAGACAGAAAGGAAGGGAGAAAGAAAGAAAGAAAGAAAGAAAGAAAGAAAGAAAGTAGAAAGAA